ACACACACACACACACACACGCACACACACACACACACTGACACTTACACTCACTCACTCACCACTCACACACACATATATATATATATATATACACATACTGGAAGAATATTTGTACAGTAGGATCGGAGATGGTCATACGTACTGTGTAATGATTCATATGCGAAGTGTGTCGGTGGCTGTGCTGCTGAGGCGATGTCGTTAGAAGTGGTTGCTGAGAAGCCTGAACGGCCTGTACGGCTTGCGCCGCTTGTGCCTGCGCCGCTTGGGCAGCCTGAAGTAGTTGCTGAGGCTGCATTGCGCTCAGAAGTTGTTGGCTTGCCGAGCTATTGCTCAGAAGATGCGGCAGAGCGGCAGGGTTCAGTCCTAATCCCGATGCCAGGCTGGGGCTCGTGGGAACTGATACAAGGACAAGTAAATGCAAATAGTACGACATCCGATGCTATGTCTAATCACGGGCTTTTAGTAAACAGAGCAGTCATAGTGTTTTAACATATCCGGCCTGCTTTTCGATGAGACATGTCGTCGTAAACATTTTGAAATGTCAGGAAAAGAAACATTCTTCAAGTGCTCGATTATTCAAAACCGTCTTGCGAGATAACGTGGAAAAAAAATAATACATATTGTACTCCAATTATTATATAAAATTTCGAATATTGAAGGTAAATCTTCCTCTAAAAGAAGAAAATCGCGGCGCAATCATGATACATTTTCTCTTATAGATGCACGATAACGTCACAACAATGAATCGTGTATAAAGGCTTCTGATCCCTCGCCGTAAAACTCTTAATTGATAACGTCGAAGCGAGAAAATACATGCAAAAAATGCTTGCGTACTATTTTTTATTATAAAAAAGTATGAAAGAACACTTGAGATCACTTGAGCATGTTTGTAAAATGACCGGAAAATTATCATTTTCCCTTGACAGTGAATAAATAAAATTATCGTAAAAACCGTAAAATTATAAGTAATATATAACCTTCTTTTCTAACCTTCCCTAACCGTTCCTCAAAAACTCGCGAGGTTACGCGCGACTTTGTCACGTTAATTTTAATTTTACGGCTATTTATTAATTACCATAGGAAAATTGCAGTTTTCACAGAATTTTAATTATATATATTTCAATTATTATAAATAATAAATTAACAATTAATTATTATTAACAATAAATAATAAATAAACAATAATTTCACAAGTATGCTTTAGCAGTTAAAAGTATTTCTTCCTTCAAACATCTGTTTACTTGAAAATGGTACGCGAGAATGTTCAACGTGTCATTTCTCGTCTCTGACGTCATAATTTAACATGGCCGCGGCAAGCGCTCAGAAGCCTTAAAACACGGAAAAATATATTTAGCGACAGCGTAGTTACCGCGGGCTTTACGGGGAGAAAGATAAACGTCGCATCGGCTGGCCACTGGCGCAAAGAAAGATGCTAATTACGACGCATCGCGAAGCCCTCTTATAATTATACGAGTGAACTGGTTAAGGCTGAACTTACCGTTGCTCGTGGGCGTGTTAAGCATGTTTTGCGGTTGAGCTAGGGATTGAAGGTTGGCCAGCGTCGTGGAAACTACCTGTCCATTACTCAGCGCCAAGTTCACCATCTGATTGTTCGTGACGTGACTGACCGGTATGGTCAGGATGGTCTGGGTAGCGATGCCTGAGAAAACGGGAAGTATTTTTCAGGACGACACGTTTCGCTCTCTCCGCGAGAGGTCGCGTACACCGGGAAAATCGGGAACGCGAGTACGGGGGAATTAATTAATCGCGGTGTTCTCAAGCGCTACATAATTGTGTCTCGAATCAATAGTACTTCATTTCCATTGTGAATATAGTCCACGCGTCGTTGATCCAGGATGGGTAGTAAAGTTATCAGAGTCTCATAGAGGGATTATTAGGCAACCCATAGGGCAGGTAACCTCGCAGGCTAGCGTAGTTGGCAAACTATTATCGTCATCTTAATAGTGGGTACAGGTACTGGCACTGGACTACGCTGCGAGAAGGACGCCTAATCATACTTAGAATAGTTTCGGGATTACCTCCAGCTCCGCTAATCTGATTACCCTGTACACGCGCTTAATATGATTACTGATCATGAGTACGTACCCGTGTTGCCACCTACAGCTAAGCTAAGCAAATCCCGTATTCTGAACAGCCATAAAAGTTTCACGTTCTGAGGTAAGGTCAACCGACAATCCGATTAATGCACAGTTCAAACGTTACCGGACGATAACACCTTGTCGGCGCTTTCGCTTTTCGTTCAGACGTGACGTACGCGGCGACAATGATTTCGCGACGCGTCGTTTAAATCGTGATCCGCGATATAGTACTTTGCGATATGCAGCCTGTGGATTGGCTTGCGGACTCAACATAGCCACTAGAGGTTAAACGAGAACTTTCTCTCGTCTCTCTCTCTTTAGCTCTACCTTCCTTTTCTTATCATTTCTACTTTCATGAATATCGGAAATTTATTTATATCGGATATAAAGAAAGATCCGAAGGATGTTATTTCTGTCCACGGCAATCAGGATGTGCACGACTTCCCACGGCGTGTATTTCTATCCTCGCCGTTTTTTGGTCCTTAATCACGCTCACACGACGGATAAAATCTCGGCCGGGCGATATATCATTTGAAAATAAAGCTACGGACATTCCGGTGAACAATGATTCCTATGAACGACAACCCTATTGACCGCACTCTCTCGAGCACTCCTCCAGTTCATCCTCGCCGACACTCGATGTCTATCAGAGACCAATCGAGCGTTAGTCAGTTACCATCGATTGAGTCGAAAAGCAGTGCAAACATTATTTGCCGCCACGTAACTCGTCATCCTACCGCGGCCGGTCCATATCCACGAACTTCAATCCACTTAGGCGGAATCCCAAAGTTCTCCTTCTGCTTGCCACCCTCTACCTCCGCCTACACCATGGGTTCTATCTCCTTCTCTTTCTCTCCCCTGCTACGCCCCTCTCTCACTCCATTTCTCTCTCGTTCTCTCTCTCTGTCTCTCTGGTTCTCTTTCTCCCTCCCTCTCCCGATTGCCAGAATAGGAACCCAACTTGGTAGAAACGAAGTTAGCGCGGACCGCAATCGATATAATAGCGGCCGAATCCGCGGAGCTGCGATGTCCAGCCAGTGAGTGCTAGGAGGGTTAGGAGTATAGGAGGGGGTGGCGGACCCGAGAAAGGAGGTAGGAGATGGGGTGGGATTCGTGGGCTTGGAAAGGGGTAGTGAGACGTTAATTATACATTGAAATTAGTTGCAGAGTTTGCCCTGTGCTCGCCGAGGCAGTCTAGGACCACTAAGTATGGGCGACGGGCCAGCCTTAGTCCGAGCTGGTCAGAGATAGTCGATATTATATTATATATCGGCACATCTTGATTGCACAACATTATGCGCGGGCACAGCGTCGGGCTATGTGCTCCGTGGGGCAGACGCACAATCATTTCGCGCATGGAAACTGTCGATGAAATTTCGGTGGGGAAGTTGTAATTTCGCAGATTGTCCATCGGCCCGGTGAAATAGACATTTCGGCAGCCCGGGATCGAGAAGTCTATATTAAGATGGTAATATATGTGTGGCGAGGAGAATCGCGCTGCTCGTGCGTTCGAGGCAACATGGAAATTCTACGACGCTCGGCGACTTACCTTGTGAAGTGGGGATAAGAAGCTGAGCCCCTTGAATGCCCTGAACCAATTGACCGGACGTTAGGATGAATTGAGGCATCGCGACCGGTTGCGGTTGAGATAATAGCTGAGGTAACGTCGCCATTGGGGCCGAACTAGGTGGCAGAAGATGGGGGGCCGCCGTCGTACTCGAGGCTGTTGGTACCGTTCCGCCTGCGAGTGAGAAATCAACGATTTCGCCGCGTTCAATTACTTTTGCCGCCTCTTTCTCGATCCTTCGCGACATCGCGAGCTGCGCCGACGCGATCGTTCGATTCGTTTTATATTCATTTTGACTGTTACCTGACGAGCTGACGGTTAAGTTCAAGGGAGTGTTGATCAATTGATTATTAGTCAATCCCGCTGTCATTCCTTGAAGGCCGGCGGCCAGCGACGCAACTTGTGGGAGATTTTGCAGATTTGCTAGGTTCTGGAGATTCTGGAGCGTCACCATACCGGCCACTGCACATAAAAATCCACCGGTTAGAAACGCAATGTCAATATCTCATACAAGCTATATTGACCGTATGTAATTTCACATCCGCGAATTAGCTACTTCTCTCGCACTTACTCGTTCCGTTCAGATGAGCTTGCGCTACCGCCGCGCGCTTCGCTTGATGAAGATTTTCGGGTGATGGGCTCCGTCGTCTCTTCCGCGAATTCTTCATATCATCTATCATCATTTGGTGCTCGTGGAGTGCACCTGTCGCCGGCTCCGGACTTCCGGCGCTGCTCCTATCGCTTTCCTGCAACAAATAAACATGTTCTGATCAGAAATCGAGTCGATCGCCTTACATAATATATATATAAAAATCGTAGAAAATGTATTCCAATTAATGGAATTTATATTATTAACGTTACGTCGATCGATCGAACATGTATTATCATGTTAGTAGATTCGATCGAATTACATCGCTAATTATTTGCAAGAGACCAGATACGTGACTGGCTCTTCGAAATAGAATGGGTTATTCTTTCTTTCTCTCGCAAAAATCAATCGGACAGTCACGCAAAGGTTTTAGCGCAAGCTAGCAATCATTCCTGCCGAAACGCTCAATTATACGCACGTGGTTCGTTAACGTAGCACGCTTTTTATTGCGGCGGCACGTTTAACGCCGAAAATTGATTAATAATCATTCACGGTCTAGCTGCTGCACGTTAAAATATTTCATTTCAGGACGGTAAAAGCGAGAAACAAGCAGTGATGGGATATGTGGAGTAGAAGAAGTAAATTAGTGATAATAATTATCGCAATATATACTACAAGAAGTGATGAAATGTGTATTGCTTGTACATTGATATACATGTCACATGTTTGTTGCATTTTGTATATTACATAACACATATTGTATAATATTATACTTATATTTATGAAACAAACTCATTTTACACGTGTGAAATTAATACAGATTTTCTTTCGGAGCTAAAGAGAACAAAATTCGAAACGCGACACGTTGCGATGTAACGTAACACAACGCGACGAGTCTTGTAAAGTCCCGATAATCATCGTCGAATATTAATTTCGGTATCACTCACGCGTGGCGATGAAAATCGAGTCCGTCGGTATTATTCTGATATCGGTCCTTGCCCATAAACATAATCCGGCAAGCCCGTGCGGGCAAGGTGATTTAGTTATTCACGCTCAATAACACATTTTTGGAATTAACTCGGTCGCTCGGCCGACCGCTCGATTTAATCAATACTAATTCGATAGGACCGCGCGTCATACGGCGCGCCGTGACTTCCCAAAAATTCCGCCGAAGGGGCGAGGAGCGACGCTGCCAGGAAGGATTACTGTGAGAAGGCGAGAATCGCCGTGCGAAAAAATACATTAATCGCGCGTTCCCTCGTTGCTCCGCTTTCGTGTCGGCAGATATATAATTCATGCATATTTACGGAATACCGGCGGAATAATTAACGAACGCCGGCACATTAAGGCGCGCCGTATATATACGTACGTGTGCGCGTATAGTCGAGGTTCTTAGAAGACAATCTAAATTATAATAAATCGATGGAGTATATATGCCGTAATGCTTTACTACCACGAGTGTATATCGACGATGGTGGTGGCTGTGCAGCGGAGAGTAATGTTACCGGTGCGGCCTCTTTGCATAATGGTATGGAAATATGCCGGAACGTGTATCGCCATAGTTGGATACAGATTAAGCGTTTTAGAGCTTCGACACTCGAATAATTCAGGGAAAAGAGTTTTGGCGGGTGACTGGACCCATGAATAAATCTTGGGGAAGCTTCTTTGGTGGCTATCGCCTTAACGGAGTCACAACACTTTTGACGTTGTTGTTCTGTTGTTGTTCACGCAAATCTTGCGAGAAAAAGAGGTAACGTAACGTGGAGTAATATCGAAAGGATACTTTCGATATTATATAGAAAAAGCGATGACGCTTTAAATTAAACAATTTGGTCTTGAAAATTATGTATTTAGTTATACGTTTTATTGGTGCGAGATTCGATTGCACTCGAGTGCGTTGGGGTCTGTAACAAGGCCTTTCTTGTTCTTTTCTTAGCGGAAAAGGCGATGAAGCTGTGAACCGATAAAATGACCCGATCATATTCACAAATATCACATTAATTGTATCGTCAGACAATTTCATCATATTCAACCAGACTTTTTTTTATAAAAAGAGAATATCCTCTGGGTGCGGCTTGTAATCCCGGCTTGAATTTTCGTCAAAGTCGCACAATGGACCGCGCACGCCGCTGGTCGAGGCATTTCATTGCATAAAAAATAGATAAAGCCCGGTCGATAGGTAACGAACGAAAATAGGAGGCGCAGGGGGTACGGCAGTTCAATTTTTTTTCCACGCAAATTCGTAAACGGCTATATCGCCAGTATGGTCACCCTATATTAAATGGACGAGGCGAGGGGGATTAGTTGAATGCACAGGCTCGACCATTTTGCTTGTAAAAGTGCGTGCGATATACAGCCAGTCGTAGAAACATATGTTTACGAGCTTTCGATATTTCGCATAAATTAATCAGCGCCGCTACATCGCGGTGCATGGAACTCTTCCGCGAAATCATCGACTTTCCATCAACGTAGTGACCGGTATCCTTGTCAATTTCCCCGCGGAAATAAGTAACTACTCTACTATTATTTCCGCGCGAGCACAGTGCGATATTTGTATATTATATCGACACGCGTTTTAATCGAAGATGTAGCGAGTTAATTTCTCAATTATATCCTCGAGGTTTCTCTATACAGAAAGAAACTATCACTCTACAGCTAAGAAAAGCGATTACTCAGTTCTTTTTCTTCTTTTAAATAATGATTATCTTCAGCAAAAAATATTTTCTTGATAACAATCTTAAGATATGCTTATCACAAATTTGAGAAAATTTCATTATCGAAACAAAAAGAAACTACCACTCTACAGCTAAGAAACGCGATTACTCAAGTCTTTTCTTCTTTTAAGTAATGGTTATCTTCAACAAAGATTATTTTCTTGATAATAATCTTAAGATATGCTCATTACAAATTTGAGAAAATTTCATTATCGCATACTCAAAAGAAGAATATATCTTCTTTGCAAGAATATTATCAAGTTAATCCGATTTCATGTAACAAACTGCGCGAGTTTTTGTTTTAATTTGATATTGTTGAACGTAAAATGCTAAGATTACTAGGATATATTTCGAAAAAATTTGAAATGCTAAGATTACCAGAATGTATTTCGAAAAAATTTGATGCTTATCATCGATTTACTATTGTGGGGACACAAAAATGACGAGTTGTTAGAATTTGGAAAGACAATCAGTTCCAAGAAACGGTCATGAGTAAACGTCGAAGCGTTCTTCCAGACCAGAATGATGTAAGCGAGCGATACCGAAACGTCCGATGATTTATCAATAGCTTGAGAATTCGACCAATATAAGTATTAGTCATATTAGACTTGGCAATAGCTCGAAGCGAGCAACGGTCAGTCGTCTCCGAACGTTTGTTCGCGAGCATTGTCTTTAGACATTTGAGAAGCATTATTGAATCACCAATTTCTACTGCTTTTTTTCATTTTATTTACACTCTTTTATGAAAGATATACATTCTATTATTAAATTTGTCATTCCATCGACTGTCTTATTAATACACTCACAATATAATCACGAGATTGAGTAAGATTTGGAAAAAGCTCATTATCAAGTATTCTGAAGAAGAATTCATTCTGTTCACAATAATTTTATAAGATTTTACCAAAGAAAAAATTGATTCGACTTTGTACAGTAAGCAAACAAAATTCTTGTTTCAATTTAATGTTCTTGATTGAAATGCTAGATTTGTTAGGAGCCAGCATGTATTTTGAATAAATTTGATACTAGTGTGATAGAATTGTGGTATAAACATGGATATATAAACTTATGAAAATCAATAAACTTATTGAAACAAATAAGATTCACTTGAATACAGTATACATCTTTCTGTGTATAGTTTTGCATAATTGTAAAACTCCTCGTTGTATCAGGACACACTTTCTAATTATCGCCTGATTCCTCGCTCGCGTTCGAAGACTATTCGATGGTCGAGCTGTGTGCGGCCGAGCCGAGCGTAAAGTGCGGCCGTGCCACCCACGCCGTTGGTCTCGCCATTGTCGACGTTTTAAATTCCCCGGGAGAAATCGGTCGCACGGTCGATGAAAAATCGTTAGCTCTCGTCCATAGGCCATCTCGCTAATGCGAAAAACTGGGCTGGATCCACTCTCTCCCTATCCCTCGCTCTTTCCCACTCATTTCCCGCGGCGGATCCGGGGGTTGCGGGCGGTGAATACGAACGGCTAGTGGGAGGCGCGAAAAAAATACACGGTCGGCGGAAGGAGGGCGAGGAGGGCGTTCGGTTGGTCGTTGGAAATGCAACAATAAACATTACTTATCGGCGCGGGGGTCTCTCTAACAATGCGTATACGAGGAGAAGCGGCGCGGCCGGTAGCAAAGCGCAAGTTTTTTGCAATAAAGTCATTTCGAGCCGTTTGAGTTATGGGTAATTCCTGTGGAACGCCCGAGCCTGTGCGCACTATAGCTGGCTGGTCCGGGTCCGGTCCATTGATTAGTATTAATGACTTAGCTGCACTCATTTCGCCCGAATAAAAGTAATTGGATTTGGCTTCGACCCCGGCGCGGACTACGCTCTGTAGTTTGGCGTCGGCGGCGTCGGACAGCGTAGGCGGCGGCGGCGGCGGCGGCAGCGGTGGCGGCGTCGGTGGCGGCGGCGGCGGCGGCGGCGGCTAGCAGAACGAAACCCGTGGGCGCGTGTAAAAATACATTAATATCTGTTTGCGCTTAATAAACGATAGCCGCGCTGACTTCAGACTAATGGCCGTATTCCGGAATCGGTAATACGCATTTTTATGTTTCTTGCTGAAACGCCGCGCCGTGCCGCCCCGCGCCATTTCATCCCATCTTCGGTCGCGGCTGTTCCTGCCCCGGCGATCGATTTGTCGAGCGAAGCACCGTTAGCCGTTATGAAAATTGAGCGATTTTTTTTGGCAGAAAACACCACCGCGCCCGCGAGCTTTGTTCGTGTGAAACGCAACACGATCGAAATCATTGCGAGTTGTGCGCGAAAAGGACAGCTCGGGGCTGCCGTGCGATTTTCGTACTCGGCGATACGAAGACCTTTGCCTTTTGTGCGATTCTGAGAAGCTTCTTGAATCTCGCATCCATCGCATTAAAAGTAGTCGCGGATGTAACCAGTTCAACTGTCTGTGGTCAGGCGATCGATTGGGATCGATAATTACTT